TGGACAGGGATAGTAGAATAGCAACAACCCAGCAGCAGGACCGGTTTCTGCTACTTTGTACAGGGAGGAATAGGAGTAGCACTGCCAGAGCCTTACAGAATGACCTCCAGCAGGCTATAGGTGTGCATGTTTCGGACCAAACTACCAGAATCAGACTTTATTAGGGTGGGCATGAGGGCCCAATGTCCTGTAGTGGGACCTGTGCTCACAGCTCAGCACCATGCAGCTCGACTGGCATTTGCCAGAGAACACCAGAATTGGTAGGTTCGTCATTGGCGTCCGGTTCTTTTCACTGATGAGAGCAGGTTCACACTGAGCACGTGACAGATGTAAAAGAGTCTGGAGATGCCGTGGAGAACATTATGTTGCATGCAACATCATCCAGCATAACTGGTTTGGCAGTGGGTCAGTAATGGTCTGGGGAGGAATATCGGTGGAGGATTGCACAGTACCATTGCTGCCGTTAGGTAGCGAATGAAATTAAATCCTCAGAGCCGCTGTCAGGTGCAGTGGGTCCTGGGTTCCTCCTGGTGCATGATAATGCTCGGCCTCAGTGACTAGAGTGTGCAGTTTTTAGATGCCATGGCATCAAGAGATTTCCAATTTCCCCCATCCATTTTCAATGGATGGACATTTTTGACAAATAAAGCTAAGATCAATAAGGCCTACAATCAGTCAGTATCAAAATTAAATACAAAACCAGTCCTAATTGAACGAAAACTAGTTGACAAAAAGATTGAATCCCATCTTTTGTGATAATATAGCACAACAAGAGATATGCTACTTTTAGTAGGCCGGTCATTTTTGACCGGGAACACCACAAGTGTTCTTTTGTGCCGTTTTTACAAGATATAAGCATTTCTAAACAAACTTCTTGGTTAAACATTAGAGCATGCTAGTGTGATAAACAGTGCAATTTTTTTGCATATTTTATTTAATATTGACAAAATTATCCACAAATAATGTTTTTTTTGGAGTTATGTAAGTAAGGAATAATTGACTCTGGGCCGTTGAATTATTAGAAAAATAATGCACACCTGAGGTGGTGATTCGCGGAGTGGCCGTTACACCTCGGGTGTGCATTATTTTTCTAATAATTCAACGGCCCAGAGTCAATTATTCCGCTTATACTACGGTTACCACAACTCAAGACATCGATTAGATGATATATTTAAAAGGATTCGTCCGGTTTTTGTACTTAAATAGCTATTGTGAGTAGGATTATTTCTTCCGCATCTCATCCAACGCCTCTTTTGCTAGTTCCAAAATGTCATTTTAAAGCTGGTAATGGAGACTTGAGCCGTTGATAGCATTCTAATGCAGTTATTAATGAAGTTATTAGAAAGAGAGCGAGAGAGACAGAGACACACAGAGAAAGAGAAAGAAAGAGAGAGAGAGAGAGAGCTTTGTGAATTAGGCTACCTCTGTGCATCCCTCAACAGTGTTCTGCAGCAGCGTCTCTAAACAGCGCTGTTATTACCTCGAGAGCTGCCTGGAACTACGTTCGCCGTGCGTTTCCCTGAAAATAATTGCACACCTCAGAACGTTCGTCAGCCAATCAGATTCAAGCATTCAACAGCCCCGTAGTATAAGCTCAGATTAATGAGGCCTATGAAAAATCAGTTTCAAAAATAAACACAAAACGAGACCTAATTGAAAGAAAACAAGCTGACAAAAAGATTGATACCAATATTAG